AAATTAGAGGCCCTTCGTGATGCTACAACTTCTACAGAAACACTCCTCTTCACTCACCCGTCAACATCCATGGAGCTGACATTGAGGTGGTGGATACCTTTAAGTACCTGGGCGTTCCAAACTCGCAACATCTAGTTGAACTGGTCCAACAACACAGATGCTCTGTATTAGAAGGGCTGAAGCCGCTTCTACCTCCTGAGGAGGTTGAGGTCCTTTGGAGTTAATTTCCAGTTGCTAAAATCCTTTTATCACTCTGTGGTTGGCTTTCTTATCCACTCTGCTGTGGTCTGTTGGGGGTGCAGGCAGCTCTGACCGAGACAGGATGAGACTGAATAAACTAGTTAACAAAGCTATCTCTTTTTTGGGGGCAGCCCACTAGATTCACTGTATAACTCCTCAGTTTAAGCTGTGCTGGCAATATCCTGGTACACAATAACACCAGTGCAATACTCAGTATGTTTTCAATACTTGTGCAATATCGGATTTACATAGTATGTCTGTGTCCCCTTAAAGTATGCTGCATTGTTCTGGAATCCGAGTTTCATTTTTTATTTGTGGTTTTTAGTGGTTATAGGTTACAGTACTTGCTTACTGCCTATGTGTATATACATGTACTGTGTTATTATTTTTCTTCAAATTATTGTTGCTGCTGTAACAAGTTAATTTCCCCTCTGTGGGGATAAAGTCTATACTTAGAATAAAGTCTATTTTATTCTATCCCCCCTTTTCCCTTTTAAGATAAAGACCCAACCTAAAGAGAGCTTTCTCTCTTTTACCATTTCACCAATAGGGAGTTGACATCACTTCTCCTGGCATGCAACAGTTCAAATAGAAACGGCACCATATTGGCAGGCAGAAGCCCGCAGCTAGACTATTTGTTGTCATAAAACTCAAACGGGAAATATGGTCGATTCCTGTTGTGCCCCAGGATGCCAGAACAGACGGAGACAAGCCAAGGGAAGATCCTTCAACAGGATTCCCCAAGATCCGGAACGCCGCAAACGTTGGATCATCGCGATGAAACGCACTAGTCTCCAGTGTAAAATGAAGCATTGGCATCCTGAGAATAAAGGTTTTCGCTTATGCAGCGACCGCTTCATACCAGGTACTTAAACCAACATTTCCTCAACTGTGTATGGTATTTATTTTAAATGCTTTTATTACGATTCTTAGTGGGCTTCCTAAACTTATTTTGGCGTGGCTTTTTCTGTCTTATTACTCTTAGCAACAAGTAAACATCACGTAAAACTTTGCCTCGTGAGTTCTGCGTGCTGCCGTTTACGTGTTTTATGATCACAGCAATTAACCGGCTAAGCTTTATTTCATTTTTAAGCAATGGTTGATCAATTGTCAGATCACACATAAAAAGCACTTTGGATTGCTATTATCTGTCTCACCGAGACCAATCTCAGATCCTGAGACGTTCCTGCCTGACATATTTATTTTATTCACGAAAAAAAATCAAACTAATGATTTCTTTTGGCATTCAGTTTATACATTCAAACAGCACAGCACTCTATTTAAACTACTTAAATGTAAATCTATGTTATTTGTGTTTTTAATTAGTTTTATGGATTTGTGCTGAAATATACTGTAGCGTTATGAATATGCCATTTCTGCCCTTAACAGATGCCCTTTGACACACTGACAGTGTGCACAAATTGCCAAGGTCGTGCGCTTGCTTCTGGTGTTTACATTCCAGCAAAGAAGACAGAAGAAGGACGAAGAACGCTTTTCATTAGTTAATCAAAGAACTTTATTTCTAATAAAGCTAATCAAAACAACTGTTGGTCAATAATAATCAGGTGACCGATCTGTGAAATCACAATGTTATGATTTATGTGTTTAATGAATAACAGGACTTTGGGCTAACTGAGCTAGACATCCTGATTCACATAAGGTAAACACATGACACATTGTTCACTCATCCAATCAGAACTTCCTTTCTGATGCGTGGCAGAGTTCTGTGGTGTTTAGTTAATCCATCCACTCTGATTCGCTAAGAATCATAAACAACTAAGCTTAATAAAACAGAACAACACCATTTTAATTTAGTTCCAACGTAGTTCAACGCAGTTCCAACTAGGTTCCAACTAAGTACTCAACCAGCTCTCAAATCTGTCTGATGGCCATCATCGCTAAGTGAAGTACAGACTGGCCAGCTGTATTTTCTACTTTTAAACTGAGAACTGTCAAGCTGGAAAATTCTGTCGTTTTATCAACAAGACGACGGTTCCTTCAGAATAAAAGAGGAACTCTGACCCAAAAAGGGGGGGTCTCTACGTGACGCTGAAAACCTGCCGTTGTACTGGGAGACGATCCATAGACTGGTCTGTCGTGCTGCCGATGCTGTTTCACCAGTTCCAGCACCAAGGAGGGTCCGAGGACCTGGCATCCGGATCTAACACGGAAGTCTCTGCATGGTACGTAGATCGGCATAGATAGCATCTCATGTCTTCCTCCTGAAGTCCATCGTCGGTCAGTTAGTAGCAAACAACATCTCGCACTCAGACTCGCCTCCACCAGATGGAGATTCTGAACTGACACACACACACCAACACTTCAGCATTACATTCATCTGCATCCATCATTAGAGAGTTAGTCCTGGTGATTGTGTCAAGTAATTATAAAATAAATATTCTTAAACGTCCCATCTTTCTCTCTCTTCTTGTCTCTAATTCAATACAAGGTGTTTGAATAAAATTCCCTGTAGTAAAAACAACCTCTTTTGATTCCAAGGGCCGGGTCCAAAGATTAATGATCCAGCTCAGGTTTGGATCAGTGATATCTCTGGACCTTAATAAAAGTGTAAGAATATACCAATTATATTCCGCTACAATACAAATGATGACTTCATCTGTTAACAAATTAAAATTAATTTATCTTCTGGTGCAAAGGGAACGGATACCTACCTACAAATACTAAACCTATAACAATGCTTACTTATACATTTCAGGGAAAAAGAGTGATCACCCTCTCTCTCCTGACTACATCCCATCCATCTTCAAACGTGCCATCCCCAGAGAAAAAGAGAAGAAGAATGCAGTTAGATGGGTTCATCCGGAGACAGAAGAGCAGACTCCAAAGAAGAGAACAAGCAAAGTCAGCATCTGCTACGGTCAGTCATTCAACTCAACTCCTAATTCAGCAGGACTCATGTGAAGATGACATCATACAGCCTCCTGCAGCTGATCAAGCAGAGGAAGCCCCTGCAAAGGAAGTGACTCAGAATGAAGTTGAGTCTACACATGAAAGCAGCCATCCAGAAACAACGGTGTGTTCCAATGAAACCTGCAAGAAACAAATCAAATATCTTGAGCTGGAATGCCATAGCCTGGCAAGCCAGACTAAATAAATGTATTATTTAGTCTGGCAATGCTCCATTGATGGCTCTTGGTTGTGGGGCGGGTTCTACCGTTGTCTTTCAAATGATCTCCGCATTCCGCTGGACAAAGAATGTGACATACTCTTGTTTCACTCTGTTGCATCGTCCCACCCACCAGGCATATAGAGTGCCCTGATTGGCCCACAAAGCGGATAAAGCTCTGTGATTTGTTCACTAAGCAGATAGAGCACTATGATTGGCCCACCATTATGGACCAATCACAGCTCTTTATGTGTTTGAAACCCCTCTAGAGAGCTGTGATTGGCTAGCCAGAATGCTGTTGGGGCTGCAGAGGTTCCAGTGGAGCATGCCTAGACCAAACTTTGTAAAGCAAGAATTTGGTCTAGTTCACTAGGCTAGGAATGCCAAGCACTGAGAAATGAAAACATGTTATTAAGACAAAAAATTACATGTACTGAAATAAATTTTATGTTAAGAAGAAGAAAAGATCATTTCTATAGCGCCTCTCAAGATAAAAATCACGAGGCGCTTCAGCATAATTCTGCGCACAAGAAGACGCATAGGAGACCTGGATGATGAAGCTCAATGGTTAAAGGAATCACTGAAGCGGTGTGATGCGCTCCGTCGCACGTCTAGGCGGTACCGTAGGAGGCGAGCTGCCGTGGTTCGCCGCATGCTACAGCAGCGGGCTATATAGGTGCGCACAGCGTCCCCTGGTCCCCTCCTCCTCCCCCTCCCCCTTGTCTGGAACTCTACCTCACCAGTCTGAAGCAGCCACCCTGTCCGTAACATGTCCGGACCTGTTACTAGGAGCTTTGTCCGGTTAAATTCCGGAACACGTTATCCGGATGTTTGTATTCAGACACAAAGGTCTTACGGACAGAGTCCGGAACATTTCCGTTTTTCATGGCCTGTCTGAAGGGGGCTTAAGTGTCATGTATTGTACACTAGTGCCAAGTTTTGTTATTTGGCCTGAAAGGGAATCCTTAAGAGAATCTATTCTCTATGCATTTAGGAGTAGTGTGTTTGAAAAGACAGTCTGTATTGTTGACTGTTTTGACATATTTCTGGAGAAACTAAGTAACTTGTTAGCCAGTGCTCAGTGTTATTCAGCATACAAGTCACACCACACCATGAAATATTTAATTGCAATCACCCCACAAGGTTCTATTTGTTTCATTTCCAATGGATGGGGAGGTCGCACAAGCAATAAGTTCATCACAGAGAAAAGCGGTTTTCTTTCTAATTTGCTCCCAGGTGACTTGGTTTTGGCAGACAGAGGTTTCAATGTCAAAGACTCAGCGAATTCTTATCAGGCTGAATTAAAGCTTCTAGCATTCACTCATGGGAAGAAACGCTTAGATCCTGTTGACCTGGAAGACACGAGATGCTTAGCATCTCTTAGAATACACATAGAAAGAGTCATTGGAGTTCTACGTCAAAAATACACAATTTTGCAAAGTACTGTTTTCATAGGTTTCACTGACATTGACACAGACAATGATGTGACATACCTTGACAAAATTGTTAAAGTTTGTTGTGCTCTTACCAATGTCTGTGAATCTGTTGTGCCCTTTCAGTGAACTTGTAATAAATTTTCCATAGTTTGGCAGACAAAAAAATGCTGACAAGCTCTTTTAAGTCAGCACAGATGTGAACTTTCATTTTTATTTACTACAACAGACCAAAAAGGTACAATTCTTAGTCTTCAGAAAATTGTAACATTTTTGTTGGCATGTTAAATACAAACATGAATAAAAAAATGAATCTTACTTTCATCAGCCTCTTGTTGTATGTGACATACTTCTTATTAACAGACTGATGTGTTAGTCTTGAAGCTGTGCCAGTATGCTATTACGGGCTACAAATAAGGGCAACCCACATTTGTTTATTACTCTTCCGCTTGTCAGAGATTTCTTTTTTTGTGAGTTGATAACTTTTCTACAGCTTGGACATTTCCATTGTTTAGGATTCCTTTTCAAGTGCAGACAAGTTTTATGAAACTTTTTTTTAAAGAACTAAAACTTGAGGTGCACACCAACATGTCGCCGTCCTCTGGCTCGCGACAGTAACACCACTGTTGACCATTATCAGCACATGCTGCTGCTGGCTTTGGTGCTGAAAAAGTCTTTGCAAGCAGCTCTGGGAGAATACATTTTTTGTAAAAAGCTTTTGCACATTCAAGCTGTTTGTCAAAAAATGACACATTTGCTGTCACACATTCAACAAATGGTGAATCACAGTCTCTTTCAGTCCAGAGGACGAAATCACAATATTGTCTGTCAGAAACAAATATCTGCATTTGTACTTGATAATAGTATGCGTGATCCGGCTTTAGTCTGATGGTTCCCTGTTCATTTTTTTCAAGGCAAAAGTTTGCTGGATCTGCTCCCTCATCCACAGAAAGTGCCTTTGCACAGAATGTGCACTTTATTTCTATAAGACCTGGACCACAACAACTGCAAGAAACATAACCATCAGGTGAGGCTCTGATGAATGGATGTGTGGGCGAGATCCTGAAACCAGCTGTTTCTACTAGGACATCGGAATGGGCAAGGCGATGCTGAATTTCATAATAATTTCTTGCCAGCTCCTCATGGTTACCATCTGTAAAACAACAAAATCCTTTTAGATACTTTTGTGAATCAAATCTCTATAAAATGATGATAAATAGTTCAAGTAGCACACAAAACCAAGTTATTTCACTTGATACGTGGTAGCCTCACTGGTGAAGCTATGAGACTTAGGGTAGCATATTTTTTTAATCAGGGACACGGAGGGCTTTGTGATGTCTGTCTTTGTGGCTGCTTTGAAGGTGGACGCTGTTATTCTACCACTTCTTTGGTGAAACCAAATGTTGGACTTTGACTGTGCTCGAGTCTCCTCTTCCACAATATCACTCTGAAAATATGATCAGACAAAATCTTACACAATGACAAACATGAACTAAGGCCAAAAAGACTTGAATTTGCTGTTTTTGTAACACGATGATTTACCTGTTCCTTGGTCACAGTCATGTTTTCTAAAAGTTTTTCTGCTATTTCTTCTGGCTCCTCTGCGCTGACATCTCTCGCCTGTCTGTCACACAGATTTATGAGGGGCTGTGGAAGATCGAGGGTCACAGCTTTTGGGACATAGGATGATGCAAGTTTACAGTTCTGTTTCACAAATGTTTTAAGAAAATACCGAAGTTATTTTTCTGAGGTTCATGAACACACAACGTAACTGAGGTTCATGAACACACGACGTAACTGAGGTTCATGAACACACGACTTTTCACAGAGAGAGAACCTCGCAATGGCCTGTTGCTAATGGTAAAAAAAAAAATCTCCACTTACCCTCCCAGTGACAACAGCGCTGTCCTTTGCAGGAAGAATCCAGATCTGGATACCAACAACAAACCCTGATTGTGTCCATTTGTATCCCTCCAGGCTTTTATATGCTTGTAGCGATGCTCCGGAGCAGGACGAGGGAAAATTAATAAGGAAATTATAAATGTGTCATGGTCCGTGGTGAGCTGCCAGCCTGTAACCCTGATCTCTGTATTGTTTTCACAGGTGGGCGTGTCTGAGAGCTCCCAGCTGCAGCTGATCTCACCATCAAGGCCCAGGTTAAGGAGCAGTGTGAAACTTCACCACGCCGGATGATTACTCTTTTAGGTAGCTCTAGCCTCCGACCCGACTTAGACATTCGTATTTTTGCTCTGGTTAACCTGTCGTCTGAAAAACCCTTGATGCCCTCTCCTGCTCTCCTCCATGTTCCTCACAATCTCTCACCTCCTCCAGAACAAACCCGGATCTCAGCCTGCCTGACACACTGCTTCATCCCCTGGCCGCCCGCTCTCAGCCGCTCACCTACCAACGTCCATTCCTGCTCCTACACCTCTGGACAAAACAATCCCTTTACCTGTGGATCTCCTCAGCTCACCTGGACCTAACAACCTTCCTGTACAATTACCACTACCAAGAAACAGTAAGACCAGGCTTTCAGATAACGTTTCCATTTGTTTACGCCTCATATTCACTCTGTCTCCCTCCTTAGAATCTCCCCCTGGATTCCTGCTGCCAGTCCTGCGTCTCATCTGTTCCCGTCTCTCACATTGCTCTTTATTTAGTAATAAAAACCTTTTTACTTACCTTCTTGCTCTCCGTATGGTGATTCTGCATGTCGTGGGTCAAGAAACTTCCTCCCGTCATGACAAAATGTCAGGGTATCTCAAATCCGGTAGGTCCGCTCCGACAGATTCTGGCATTTTAAAAAGTATCCCAGAAGAAGAAGAAAATATCATTTCTATAGCACCTCTCAAGATAAAAATTATGAGGCGCTTCACAAAAACAAAAATAAAAAAAATTGTAACAATGTAAAAAAGCATTTCGAAAATGTTTAAAAATATATTTAAAATGAGCAAGAATAAGCAATTGCGATTTAAAAGAAAAAATGTTAAGAGAGAGTGAATAGAAAAGAGGGAAATCGGTGGATCCTGAGGAAGGTGGAATAGGTGGGGAGAGCAGAATAAAGAGAGTGGTGAAGAAGGTCATACAAAAGCCAGCTTGAACAAGTGAGTCTTCAGCTGCTTTTTGAAGGAGACCACTGAGTCCACTGATCTCAGACTCAGGGGGAGAGAGTTCCAGAGTCTGGGGGCCACAGCAGCAAATGATCTGTCACCTTTGGTCTTTAGCCTGGTGCGCTCCACAACCCGTAGGCTTTGATCACTGGACCTCAGGGACCTGCTGGGGGTGTAGGGACTAAGAAGATCACCAATGTAAGATGGTGCTTGACCATTTAAGGCCCTATAGACCAGAACCAGGATCTTGAAATGAACCCTGAAGTTGACTGGCAGCCAGTGAAGCTGGAGGAGAAGCGGGTTGATGTGAGTGTGTTTGGAGGACTTGGTCAGAAGCCGAGCACAGGCATTCTGAACCACCTGTAGACGGTTCAGGGAGGTTCTGCTCAGACACGTGAAAAGAGAGTTACAGTAGTCTAAGCGTGAGGAGATGAAGGTGTGGATAACTGTCACAAGTTCAGAGAGGGACAGAATGGGACTCAGCTTAGCAATGTTCCTGAGATGGAAGAAGGAAGAGTGAACAAGAAAACTGACATGAGAATCCAAGGTGAGAGCTGGGTCAAAGGTCACGCCAAGATTCCTGACAGAAGGTTTGGTGTGGGAAGCAAGCTGACCAAGAGAGTCTCTGACTTTGGGAACCAGCTTGTCTGGGGCACAGATGAGGATCTCAGTCTTATCTTCATTCAGCTGAAGAAAGCTCCCAGCCATCCAGGTTTTGATAGAGTCTAAGCAGGTGTGTAACAGCTGCAGCTTAGACATTTCATGGGCCTTAAAGGAGATGTACAGTTGGATGTCATGGTAAGGGGCATGGTAAGGGTCGGAGATGTTTAATCTATTTAATTTATGACTATATAAAACGATTTCTTCGGTTTTAAAGTGAGAAGTGAACTCTGATGGAATAAAATCCAAGCCGATCACGTTCATGTTTACGATCCGTGTTTGTTTACCTTTTTTTCCTGCCAATATGGCATCTACTCTCTGAGAGTCACGTGACTTCCGGAGCTCTAGGAGCTCAATCTCATCCCAGCTGAAGCAGCACAGCTGTATGACAGAATATTGCTTTTGACTAAGGTTTCAGATTCCAAACTCAGCTGTGGCCCTTCTGCACAGAGGTACCATGGTCTCTAATGCAAACGTGGGTTTCTCTGGGCGCTCTGGTTTCATCCCACAGAAAAAAAAAAACATGTTGAAAGTTTGCTGCACTGTTACATCCTCAAGTTGAGGTACCAACAACTTCCCAAGCTAGACCCCCTGGAGGAGCCCTGGTGGCATCTACAAATGTTGGTTGAATGTTTTGTTTAATCTGTAATTCCTAATCATCTAAATCCATAAAATCATGTTTAAACATCAACACTTATAGTGACAGTAGCCTAAGCTCTGCCCCCAGCTGGAGCCCTGTAACACCTTAACACCCAAAAATAAACTTCCTAGCTCGGCCTCTGCACATCCAATACCACATTGTGTTTTATTAGAGGTGGAACAATCAGATTAAACGTTGCATAACTCCCAAATTGAAAACAGGAATCTGTGCAGACCTGTGGTTCCGTCTGGCAACCCAGCAGAACCACACAGGTGGCATGTGACTCTGCTGTGACTGTATATACAGAACATATATGTGTTTATTGTGCTAACATCAGGCCCAGAACGCCAAGCACATGTTTCCAAGAAACATCATTGAAGTGGGGAGGAGGGGAGAGGCAGGTGATGAGGGAGGGTTCACACAGTTTATGGAATACACATCATGTTACTGATAAGGATCTAAGCTGTTATGTAAGAGCCTCAGAGCCTTTGTTTCATCCTGGAACATCATACATGAACAACCAGCCCTGACACTCTTTTGTGTGTGTGTGTGTGTGTGTGTGTGTGTGTGTGTGTGTGTGTGTGTGTGTGTGTGTGTGTGTGTGTGTTTGCTCGAATGCAACATAACAGGAATAAATAAAAGGAGACGCCACCGAGACACTTCCTAGAACATCCAGAGAAAATAAACAACACAGAAAATATCTCCTGCTCATCAACCATGAACTGTTCCATTTGCCACAAACGCCCCGGAAACAAAAATAAAAAGTGTGTTTATAGATCTCAGTTTATTTTCTCTTCAGATGTCTGAAGGAATAAAGAGCCACAATCATTTTGATTATTTAATTTTACTGTTGTTTCATTTTTCTGATTATTGCATTCTCATAAACTTTCAGTCAGCCTTAAACTGTAGCCCCCTCTGCTGGAGACAACGATAAAAGGGGGTCCCTGAATCGAGGCATCTGACCAGTTTTGAGCATTTTAAATTAAAAAAGTAATTAGAAAAAGTAATTAAAAACTATAACTAAGAAATAGTTGAGTTAGTAACTCAGTTACCACACTGTAAAAGTAATTAGTTGCCTAGCAAAGTAACATCTGCAATTATACGCTCTTGCAAGATGGCGCCCATGAGTGGTTGTGCGTTTGCTAGGCTCCTGATCTTTTTTGGTTATTTGTTGTTTTTTATTGTTTCTTCTTTATCTGGTGCAGATATTCCCTGCTAACATATGATCAAGACTTACAATTGTCGATCAGATCCGCGATGATCAACCTCCAGAACTTCAATACCGGACCGCTTTCCCACCGCCACTGGAAACTGGCGTTAACCCAAGTGTCTGCCCTTTGTTACCTGTCGGCCTGCCGCTGCCCCGGAGGCCATGGAAGAGGAAACGGGGGAAGAGAGCCGACTTCTTCGTTCAGCTTTGAAAGATCCTGAGAGGCGAAGCTCTACCTGATCGCTGCTCCGTGGCTGTGACGTGGCGGATCCAACAGAAACTCAACGGAGTTGGGCTGATCTCGCTGCTCACTGGAGCCTCCGAAGCAGGATGCCACCTGAAGGTGTGGGAGACAATGAGCCTCTGTGGGCGTAGCGGGAGTCGCTACGTAGCTTAGCCCACCAGCCGACCGTCATTATGGAGCCCATACACACATCGCCAGATTTCTCTGTGAAAATGATGATAATTAATGCACGCTCCATCGCCATCAAATCTCACATTCTAAACAATCCGTTCTACACCGAAAAATTAAACTTTTTATGGATTTCTGAGTCATGGCAGCTTTTTGTTGATAAACTGCAGATAAATGATGTTCAGTGACCATAAGTCAGTTTCCTTTCATATTAACCTAAATTCTGAATCTCTTTTACCAGACTCTGCCAAGTAAAGACGTATTATCAACAGTTCTACCATTTTAAATTTCTCCTCCCTCTTTGACTTTGTACCTCCTTCTTCTGATGACATAGAGCTCCTTACTAACTCATTTAATGATCACTGCCTCAAAATTCTAGATCAGGTTGCCCTACACAAAACCAGCCACAGTTCCAGTGCCTCCAGTTCACCTTGGCTGAACAACCAGATTCTTGATCTTAGACGCTCCTGTAGAAAAGCAGAACATCGGTGGAAGAGGACAGCTTTGGTTGTTCATCGCGAATATTTTAAAGAACTTCTCGAGTCATACAACAAAGCTGTAGAAATGTCAGGTCTTCTTTCTTCAGTAACCTCATATGCCAAAATAAGAATAATCCTAAGGTTTTGTTTGATACCATCTCCAGCATCGTGTCTTCAGCAGTCTCAGCTATCTTCAGCTGATGACTGTAACAGATTTCTCCACTTTTTTGCAAACAAGGTGTTGAATCTGAGATCCAGCATTCCACCAGCTCCCCCCATCAGCGAGGAGGCCCCTCAGTGCTCCGAGTCTTTCACCTCCTTCTCCCCAATCACACTAAATGACTTAACCTCAATAATCAGTCAGATGAAGCTCTCATCATGCTCATCAGATGTGTTACCTCCCTCTGACTTAGTCGGGTCCCTTGCCTCTATCAGTCCATCTCTGTTGACTATAATCAACAGCTCACTGGGTCAAAGCTGTGTTCCATCTTACTTTAAAAATGCAGTGGTGACTCCTCTCTTAAAGAAACCCAACCGTGATGCCAGCTCCACCAGTAACTTTAGGCCCATTTCTAAGCTACCTTTCATCAGCAAAGTACTTGAGAAGGTTGTTGAAACCCAACTCAGATCCTGGTTTTCTAAGTCAAAGATCTCTGACCCCTTCCAGTCTGGCTTTCTGAAGCAGCACTCAACTGAGACTGCTTTAGTAAGGGTGCATAATGACCTCCAGTGACCTCCTAATGGCTGCTGATGGTGAGAAATGCTCTGTCATGGTCCTGCTTGACCTCATTGTAGTTTTTGACACTGTAGACCACAATGTTCTACTGAACAGGTTAAAGGCCCTGGCTGGTATCTCAGGTTCTGCTCTAGACTGGCTCTCCTCTTATCTCACCAACAGAACATTCACAGTGAAATCAGAAACCTTTTTATCAGACACCGCCTCTCTAACCTGTGGGGCTCCACCAGGTTCAGTTCTAGGGCCTCTACTATTCGCGTTCTATATTCTTCCTCTAGCTGGCATCATTCAGTCTTTCTCTGACATCTCCTACCACATCTATGCTGACGATATACAGCTCTATATGTCCTTCATGCCACACCAGTTGGACAGGCTGGCCACCC